TATATATATAAACACATACAAATGCAATGACCTGATTACAACAAGTTATATTCAATTGATAAAAATAATATGATAACAAAAATATCCAGTAGCAAAAACAATGCTAATGGATTGAAATTTCTAGAATCATATTAAGTTGATAAAAATAGGCTATAATTTACAACATAAAGAAAAAGAGATGCAACAATGAAAAGCCTAAGGAAATATTTATAGATAGCTCACATGATCATAAATTTTTAAAAATAAAATCAAGTTACACATTATTTAAAGAGTCCAACATTTGTTTTATTCTATAACTAATGCTCTTTGAGAATAGTCAAGGATTTTCTCTCTAACTTGTTTAGGGTTTTCTGATATGCTTCATCAACATCACACCTAACTAACAAAGAGGGTTTAGGGATATGCTTCATCAACATCACACCTAACTAACAAAGACTATTTATTTTTGTAATCATGAATCCACCTACAAAAAGAAATAGATTATAAAATTAGTAATTGATAGTTCTAAAGTTATTGGATGGTGAGGGTTTATCTTCTTGGTTGATATGATGCACACTTAGCCATGACCTTAAATAAGAATGTTTAGTTGATTAGTTGCATCATTAAAAATCAGAAATAAAAAAAAGATAAGAGAAGGAACAAAAGCTGAAAAGCGGGTTATAAATAATCAATGATATAATCATATGAAAACTCAGGGTCCATAAAATCATAAATAGAAACTCCATCCAGAGACATCAAAACATCAAAAGAATTTCTCAGAATCAAGTTGCAACGTCATAGTTTCTAAGAACTAAGGTGTTGCTGGTACGTCATCTGCCCATTGTGTTAGAATGAATAGATTGAGTCTAAAGTATCGGGTTACGCTTTTAATAAGGGATTGACAGATGTCTTTACTAGTCATGATTATTTCTTTCGATAGCTTCCCTCTCACAGGTGGGTTAGGCCATTTTTTTTTGGTAAAAATAAGCACAATCAGATTGGCATGTAAGTTCGATTCAACTACTTTGGTAGTCGAGCTTCGGTTCAACCGCTTCAGTAGGTGGGCTTCGGTCAGTTCGGCCACTTCGACAGGTGAGTTTCAATTCAACTACTTTGGCAGGAGGGCTTTGGTTCAACCACTTCGACAGGTGGGATTTGGTTTAGCAGCTTCAATAAGTGGGCTTTGGTTCAACCACTTTGGTCGGTGGGTTGACTTCTGCAATGAAAAAAAATAAGAAATTTTTTTATATATGTGTATACATTGGTATTTGTGCATACAATGTATTTAGTCCCACTTCATAGGGAGATTTGTCATTGTTGTTGTTTGATGAAAAAACAGAGCTACATTGTTTGAACTCCTCGTACGCATGGGTGTGCAGATTGTTTGGCTTGGATTGGAGAGGAATAATTGAATAACGTTTATAACTTAGTAATTACAAAGTAAATCAAACTCGAGCTAAAATAAAAAATTAACTCATGATTTTCTTATTACATTTAAATGATAAAATTATGAAAGCTCAATTTGTTTAAGACTTTGAAAAAGTAAACTTCAAAGCTTATAAAGTTGCGCCTGTTAAAAGAATAATATGTGATTTTTTTTTATAATTAATTAACCTAAATAAAAGCTTAGTGTTAATTATATTTGATAAAGTGAGTGCCACTTAGGCTATAATCGAGCCGAGTCAATCAGAGTATGTCATAGTTTGAACTTTGCTTAGTATAATTATTAGTTATTCATGTTCGGTTGGAGCTTGGGTCGAACTTTCACATATTGTGCATGCTTGACTTGTTTACAGTTTTCAATGTTTTAACTTGATTTGGTTATGACAAGTGAACGAGTATTTAAACGAGTTAATAAATGAGTTAAAAGTTAAAAGGAGTATCTAAATTTTCATATAAAAAATATAATAAATTTTACAAATCTAAATAAAGAAATAATTGAATAAATCATATAAACAATTGAACTAATATCTATAATAAATATATTTCCATAAAAATGAATTCTAAAATTTAAAAAAATATTAAAACAAAAGTTAAATAAATTAGTATTACGAAATAACTCATAATGTGAACTCATTTATCAATTGTAGAATTAATTAAGAATTATTAAAAAAAGAATGGACAAAACGAGTGATGCTCACTTTCATAATTCAACATATTAATTTTCAAATATTTAATAATTATGAATAAAATAAATATATAATTAAGAATTAATTTAAATTATTATTGATATAATAATATAATACTATTAAATTTATAATTAAATATTATATCATATATGATATAACTATATTCGAGCTTAAAATCAAGTATTTAACATTTTATTTGCTGAACAACAAATGAATTTATTCTTAAATATAAATAAACAAGTTCGATTATGCCCATATTTAATTAATTTAAGATTCTAGTTTTATAAATTGTTCGAACTTATTTATTTATTAATTTAAACTAATATGATAGAGTCGAGTTTGATGTTCATCGAGTGCATTGGTTCATTTACAGCTCTAAGTCCCACTAAAAAAAAATTAAAAATCTCTACATTTTGAAATTTGTTTGATTTAAATTTATCTTTTCACATAACATTTGAAAGAATAATAGAAAATATTAATAAAAATTAAATATCACACATTTAAATATATAAAAGCAACACTCAAAAGCAGTTTCCCTACCAGATGGAAAGAAACAAAATACCTGTTTCAGCTCCAAGCCTTGCTGCTCTGTCACCATCTTTTGTTTCTTTTTTTTTTTTCTGGTGCCTGTGTGTAGTAAATGTCTCTCTTCTCCCAAGTCCTTTCTAAAAGTCCTCCTTTTCTGCTGCCATTTTCTCCCTCATCCTCAAAACGGAGGGAACTGAGTTGGAGAGAGAGGGAGGGAGTGGGAGGGGGAGAGAGTTTACGCAAAGGAAATGGCTTGAGGCTGAATGAAGCAGCTGGCAATACTGTAGGCAGCCGCCTGCACAGGCCCACTCAGCTAACTTTTCTCACTGGTAAGCCTCCTCCTTCTGTAAAAATTGGTTTTTTTTTGTCGGTTTTCGATGGAAAGTAAGTGGGAGCACAGTGTTCTACTGGCTGCTGCAACTTGTCGATCAATGAAATTTTAGCCTTTTTTCCTTTCCTTCGCATCTAGTGAAATGGAAGGACTTTGATCTCGTTCTTAGTGCTTTTGTTGGAGATTCATAAAGGTCTGACATTCTGGATGCTAAGCTGCTTTTTGTAGAGATTTTGTGTAAAAAATTCGTTCTTTGATTCTCAAATCTGTTTCCTCCGCTTTTCCAAACTGTAGGTTCTGTTGATCTTTCATGTACCTCACTTTATGCTGAAGTTTGAACGATTTTGCATGGTTTTGATAGAATACCAGTAGAGTTTTATGAGATGTTAGTCTGTGATTCTAAGTTACAATGCTTTGTCTTATTTGCTGATTTTTTCTTCTTTTGACTGGTTTTAGTTTTTTTCTCTGAGAATCTGGAGAGGATATGAATGCTCTACTTGGTGCTTTTACTTTTCTAACAATGTATATCTCTGTGTTTTATCATGACTGGTTCTGAAAGCTTTGTTGTAAATAAAGATTTGGATTTTGAAGTTCTTCACTTCTTTTGAACTGAAACTAGCTAAGGTTTCATTTGGTTGATTTTTAGACAGAAGATATGTTCTAGAAAATGATATTTTACATTTCATAAAACTGCCACTGAAATAGATCTATTTCTAGCCCCATCTAACTAAATGTTGAATTTGACAAAAATTACATTTCCTTAAAACATGTTTTCTATCTTCCAGCAATCTGCTGAGCTCTAAAAGTGAAGTTTACTTTCTTGCTTACAGACAATTAATGCTTGTCTGGAAAACTACTCTTCTATGCAGATTTCAGTTTTCACATCCCTTCTTGCTTGCCTTGTATTGCTGACTATTATTATATGAAGAAAATGATCCAAAATATTTCAGTTATTGGAACATTTGGTTCTAAAAGCTAATTGCTCATATACCATGTAAAAGAAGTTCGAAATTTAGTTTGTTATAATCTTGCTTTTTCTTAACAAAAGGTTGGAATTGGTAGCTCCTTCTCTTGTGGAGTCGAATGCGAGATTCATGGTTCTAAGCACTTCTTTTTGCTTTGAATGTTGAGTTGAGGGAATTCCTATTTTCTATAAAGTTCTTTTTTTCTATGCAATCTTGATGGATTTCATGTTTTAAGGTGACCTGCCCTTCATCTGGGATTATCTGTTGAGAGGGTTTTGTTTCTATTGTGTATTAATATATATCATATTTTTTTAATAGCAAGCAATATAATCATGATTTTTGAATTTTATTGATAAGGAAAAATTCATGCACTTATTTGGGGTTGGATTTTGCTGATTCTACTTCATTGAAATTCTTATGTAAAGCAAACAAAAACTCTTATATGACTAAGTTTGATTGAATCGCTTGATTGTTACTCTGATGTATTGCAGGTTAGGAAAAAAGTCAAATTGAATGGTTTGATTGTCTCTGTAAACACTGTTGATTTATCTACTTGGAATCATGTCGACATTTATGCATGCGGAGTCTAGGAGATTGTATTCATGGTGGTGGGACAGCCATATTAGTCCAAAGAATTCAAAATGGCTTCAGGAGAACCTTACAGGTATGCATGCCAATCATCCATGACTCATTATATCATGTAGAGGGTTTGCACTATAGATTATAGAGTAAAATGCCAAAGTAAATACTTAATTTTATGTGGTCATGTTAATCCCAGAGTATTTAGAAGTGTCAAATTAGTACCCAAACTCTTTAAATTATGGCCGAAATTGTCCTTGTCTTAGCCTATCTTAAAAGAGTCTGAAGAATAAATTGACACTTTTATAGAATGGCCCCCTGCAAAGAGTCAGGAGGCTATTTTGACACGTTTCTCATACATTATTTGTTCATTCTTGTCATCACGTTTTTCTTCAATTCCTCCCACCATTCATTGTTGTTTAGAGCTATGCTTAACATTATTTGGGGTTTAACTATGGCCTTTTCAATAGATTTTAGTAATGTTTGCTGGGGAATGCTTTTCCTTGCACCAAAGATTTAAGCATCTAGCTTTTTATTAACTCTTTATGAATCTTAATTTGTCTTTTCTTGAACAGATATGGACTTGAAAGTAAAAGCTATCATCAAACTCATAGAGGAAGATGCAGACTCCTTTGCAAGGAGGGCCGAGATGTACTACAAGAAACGACCCGAGCTTATGAAATTTGTGGAGGATTTCTACCGAGCATACCGTGCCTTGGCTGAAAGATATGATCATGCAACGGGGGCGCTCCACCATGCTCATCGAACGATTTCTGAAGCTTTCCCCAATCATGTTTCCCTAGCATTGCCTGATGAATCTCCCTCCGTTTCACCTGTCGCTGAGATTGGGCAGTGCACTCCAGAAATTCCTTCATTTTTGGGTTCACCATTTGAACCCAATGATCTGCAGAAGGATGCATCAGGCGAGCTGGGATATTTTCGTATGGGTAATAAGAATATAGTATACAATGAAGAAAATGAATCATTTGCGACCAAAAAAGGACTGAAGCAGTTGAATGAGATGTTTGCTCCTCGGGAAATGACAACCCGTGTAAAGTTACATGAAGGGAAGGTGAGAAAAGGACTTAAGTTCCAACAGGAAGAGGACTTTGTTTCCCAGTCTAAAGTGAATAGCTCCAAAATGGTTTCTGAGGAAGAAGTAAAGGAGAGGGAGAGTGCCCGAAATGAAATCAAAAGTCTTCAGGAAGAAGTTTCTCAGCTCTCAATTGAGAACCAAAAACTCAAGGCCCAAATAGAGTCTGGAGCAACGGATTTAGATTCATACAGAAGAGAAGTTCAAAACTTGAGAGATGCAATTACGAAATTGCAGTCAGAAAAGGAAGCTGCTGTCTTGCGGGATCAGCTATCATATGAAAGAATATCTAGAATGGAGACTGAAATTCTTTGTGCAGAATATGAATTTGGGAAGCTCCATGAGGAAATCATGATGGGAATTTTTAAATTTTGTGGGGCAGAAGAGCAATGTTTTTCATTGGAGAAGGCAAATCAGAGTTTAATGGTAGAAGTTAAACAAACTAACAATATATTGGAAAAAATTAGAGCGCTATTAGTGGAGAAACAGTATCTTTTGGAGCAAGCTGTTGAGGAGAAAGATAATGCTAAAGATGAAATAAAACGTTTTCATGAACAGCTTTCTCTGGTATCAAATGAGAACCAGAGTCTCAAGTCCCAAATACTGTCCAAAACCAAGAATTTGCAATTATCCATAGATGAAATTCATAGCCTGAGAGATGAAATTTGTAAATTAGAATCTGAGAAGGAGGCTGCTATACTGACGAACCAACTATCCAAGAAAATCACATCTGGTTTGAAGGCTGAAAAAGTTCAAGCAAAAGATGAAATTGGAAAGCTTCATGCAGAAATTCTGATGGGATTTGTTAAGCTTTGTACTGCAGAAGAGCAATATCTTTCATTGGGAAAGGCATATCAGATACAAAAATTAGAACTTGAAGATAGGAAAAGGGTACTGGAAGAAATCCAACTGTTATCAGTTGAAAGCCAAAATCTTTTGGAGCAAGAGGTTAAGGAGAAAGAGATCATTAAAGATGAAATAGAATGTCTTCAAGGTGAAGTTTCACAGCTATCCATTGAGAACCAGAAAATGAAGGGTCAGATTTTATCAAAAGCAGCTGAGGTTCAAAATTTGAGGAATGTGGTTTCCGTATTAGAGCGCGAGAAGGAAGATGCTGTTACGAAGAGACAGCTCTCCATGGAGAGTATAAGGCGCTTGGAGAATGAAATCTTAAGAGCAAAAGAGGAAATCAGGAAACTCCACGAGGAAGTTTTGATGGGCATTGTTAAGTTGTGTAGTGCAGAAGAGCAACTTTTTGCATTGGAGAATGGAAGTCAGAATCTAAAATCAAAAATTGAAGAAAGAAAAGCAATGTTTGAAGACCTCAAAATTTCTTTACAAGAGAGTGAAAAGCAGCGGATGGAGGCTGAAAGATCTCTTCAATCCTGGAAGACGCTATATAACCTTTCTCAGGAGAAGGTTGAAAATCTGAATCTTGAAATCCAAACTCATTATGAGAAACTGAAGGACATTGAACACAGTAAAATGAGCTTAGAGGAAGAAGCGCGCCAACTCAAAGCTGTAAATTATGAGCTCAATGAACGCATCCTTGCATATGACTTTGACCTTAAACTTCTGCAAGATGAGACAGTTTCATTGAAGGAAATTAATAGAAAACTTGAAGATGAGATTAAGTTCCATTTACAGGACAACAAAATTTGTCAGCAAGAACTTGAATCTGTTAAGATTAATAGAGATCAGTTGGAACTAAAACATAAAGGCCTAATGGAGCAAATGGAAGTGGCCAGTTTAAATATGGAGTCCCTTGAAATACTGATCAAGGAACTGCAATTTGGCTGTGTTGAACTTAAAGAAGGCTGCAGGAAGCTTGAGGATGAAAATCTTCTGCTTTTCAATAAATTGGAGGATATGGAGATGATTTCAGAGAGGAACACAGTTTTGGAAAGAACTTTATCTGATGCTATGGAGAAGATTAGAGTTCTAGAAGATTCTTGCGAGTCTCTCAATTCTAAAGATGCTGCCCATGTTGTAGAAAAGGCTGCTCTATTCTCTCAGGTGAAGGTTATTGCTGAGAATATGGAGAAGCTTTCAGAGAAGAATACCCTCTTGGAGGACTATTTAGTTGATTCAAACACTGAAATTGAAGTTTTACGATTAAAATTAAAAGAATTTGAAGAATCCAACCTGTTTCTCTCTGATCAGAATTCAGATCTTCTTCTCCAAAAAAGTGGCCTAATCTCTCAGGTAAAATTTTTGTTAACTTTGTCCATTTTGATGTTCGGTTGATCTTGGCTTTTGATATTATCGACTAAATTTATTAACACATTTTATGCATCACACTTATTTCTGACACATCTTTGCGATACTTATTCCTATGAAGCACTTATGTTTTATTGTTCATTTTATTTTCCCTTTTCCCGTGTCCTTTCCACCAAAAATTTTGTAATCAATTTTAGTACATAAAAGTTTTTCTTATTAAGATTGTTGATCGGTTTGATCTTTGAAATCACTCATATTCAGCTTGTTAAATAGTTCATATTTGACTGATTTGTTAACTCAAAAAATCTTTATATTTGATTTCAGTGTTAGTTCTAATCTTATCTAATTGTTCATGATCTTAAATTTCTATGTGAAAGTTTTATTAGGCGACCATTAAATTATCATTTATGTGAGTTCTATGTGTTTCTAATTTTCATCAAAATAAATGAATACTACATTAGGAATTGTGAATTTTGCCTTCTTTGCATGATTTCATGCATGTCATTCTAAATCTACATTAGGAAGCTCTATTCCCATGGATGCCTTGCATTGGATTTGTTATCAAAGTTTAAGGTTATATCATGATGCCAATTAGAAGCAGGACATAATAGTTGAATAAATCAAGAAACTAATAAGATGATATAATTCAAATTAAAGCAGATACGCTATGATTTTAAACATGTTAATATGACTATTACAAGGTTCATTATTGTATTTTTATATTTGGAGAGGTATCATGTTAAAGAATTTTTAAATTGGATTGATTACCTTAAGAATTTTTTGAATGTTACAATATGCTTGAACCTCAAAGAATTTGAATTTTTTTTTTTATAATTTATCAATATATGCTCAATATTATTCGCAATGTTGTTAAATTTATGGTTTGAAATAAAATAACTCTAAAGAAAAATAATTGCCATCTTGTGAATATAAGGGCCAATTGCATGATTCATTTTAAGGATTGTAAATAAGATAACTATGGCGTGTTTGAATGTTATACAAGGTTTAAATATTTTATAGTTAAATAGTATTTGCCTCTAGATTATAATATTTTTGTTATCAACTTAATTAATGGTTTTAGGCAGCAAATTATGGTTGAAATAACATGCCATTCATCAAAAACATTCAATGAGGCTTTATTTAGAGTTTTGGATATTCACCCTCATTCTTTTAGGAGTACAATACTTATGCTTAATATCCATTAAGATAAATCATTATTATCTTCTCTGAATCTTGTTAAACATACACTTTGCAAAGAATAATGTATGGTAGAGTTTGATCCTATTAAAAAAGTAGTTAATATATATGATCTTGATGATGCATTAGATGTTGAAGAAGATTTATTATGACAATATGAATCTACATCTGATTTTATTGAATTTAAATTTGCGCTTATATCAAATTTTGTTCATTAAGCTATATCTCTTTCCTGAATAAGAGTCATAAAGTTTTAAATCCAAATTAAGCATAGATTATATATATGAACCTAGACTTCTAATAGAAATTTAATCTTTTCCTAAATATGAAGCTAAACCAATCATATATAATGTACATTATGAATCAATTGCGTCATTTGATAATGTGGATTTTGACAAATTACACCTGAAAATTATATCCATGTTGAATAATTAAATTGATGCTAATTTTATTTTTGGTTTTTTTGTTTTCTCATCGACTTTTTCATGAAAATAGTCTTGCAAAGAGAGCTAAACTCTGTCAACATTTAAAAAGATTCATACAATATGCCCAACTTTTTTTAGATCTACCTTTACCTTTCTTAACATAATTCAAATCTAAAACATCTCTCCTCATCGGATAATCAAATGCTTGATGTTTAATGTGACCAAACCAACTAAGACGATTCTCTCTAATCTTTTCTGCCAATGGAGGAGCTATATCAGTGCTTTCATGGATAGATTCATTTTGCATTTTGTCTCTAAGCGTCAAACCACTCATTCACCTTAGCACTCTCATCTTAGCAACACTTTACTTTGTTATATGCTTCTCTTTTAAAGGCCAGCGTCTGTGCCATAAAGCATTGTAGGTCACATCACCATTTTATAAAATTTTTCTTTAAGTCTAAGCGGTACTTTTCTATCACAAAATAGGTCCGATGCATTCCTCCACTTCAATCAACCATCTTGAATTTTACTGATATCATCCCCATTTATATCACCATCACTTTGAACAATGTACTCGAGATATCTAAAATGTTCACACCTTTTAATGATTTGATCACCCATAGTTACAACTCTGCACTAGAGCTACTATTAATAAAATTACATTCCATGTGTTCAATTTTAAATATACTAAAATAAAGGTCTTTAGACTCCAATGTAGACCTCCATAATTAAAGTATTTCCTAAACCCTTTCTCTAGTCTTAACCACAAGAATGATATCATCGGCAAAAAGCATACACCTAGGTACATTCTCCTATAAATTACCACTAAGAGCATACATAAATTTAACCTGATCCCTGATGTAACCGAACTGAAATAGCAAAATACTTGGCCAATCCTCCTGTTCGAACACAAGCAACAACTTTAGTATACATATCTTTAATGAATTGAATAAGTCATATCAACGATTTTCTTTTCAAGAGCTGTCCAAAAAACTTTTCTTGGAACCTTATCATAAACTTTTTCTAAATCAATAAAATTCATATGTAGATCCTCCTTACTCTCTTTATACTTCTCCATCAAACCTCTTCAAACCCATCAAACCTCTCAATAAATATATAGCTTCCATAGTAGACTTGCCAGACATAAATCCAAATTAGTTATGAGAAATTTTTGTATCATGTCTTGACCTATATTTAATTACCATATGCCATAATTTTAAAGTATGACACATTAACTTACTTCCTCTATAATTTACGCACTGCCGTGCATCCCCTTTATTTTAATAAATGGGGATAAAAAAACTCTTTCTCCACTCATTAGACATCTTTTTAGTTTTGAAAATAATATTGAAGAGTTTAGTAATCCAAAAAACTCTAAAATCTTCTAAATATTTTCATACTTTAACTTAGATATTATCAGGTCCTACTAATTTTCTACACTTGATTTTTTTAAAGTATCATTAAGTTTCTTTTTACTTATACGACAATAAAAATAAAAAAAATTTATTATTATTAACAATATTAAGATCATTAAGGCCAATCATTTTTTAGAAATTTCATTAAAACGTTTATCAAAATAGCTGACACATCTATGTTGAATATCTTCCTTTAAGAAAATCACATTTTGATTTTCATCTTTAAGACACTTAAATTAAATCTTTACTCTTCTTTTCTCATTGTTTGGTTAATTTATACATATTTTTTCACCTTTTTTAGTATCCAATCTATTATAAAGACCATTAAAAACAGAATTCTTTAGAAGGATTTAATAGTGATAACAAATTTAAATAAAATTATATTGTAGAGGGTGCTAAAAAAATTGAAAAGAAAGTCGTTGAAAGATTGGTGAGCGCTAGATAAGAAAAATTAGATGCAACAGATCCTATGAATTTATATGAAAAGTGCCCATATATTACTCCATTGGTATCAGTTCACAACCTTAAATGGATCAAAAACAAAATAGTGGCAATTTTGTGTTTTTTATTGTAATTATTTTATTTTTTTTGTAACAATTTTATGTGTAAATACTCATTATAGGAATAAATAGTCCAAGCTTTCCTAACCACAATTTTTTTTTACATCGTATCTGTGGGTTTCGAAAATTCTCTTCTTGGCCTCTCACACTAAGAGTTTTAGTGTAAGTTTTTAGGTCAAATTTTCAGAAGTCATATTAAATTTTAAGATGTGACACTACCATTCTCATTTTGTGAGAATTTTAAGCTATGTGATTCAAGGTTCCCATAGGTGCAAGCCTCTATGGTTAATTACCCTTCCTGATATTGAGAGAGAATTTTTTATTAAGACTATTCATTAAGCACCAAATATTAAATGTGTAGTGACAGGAGGCTTAAACTTTAGGATTTATCAGTGTGAGCTTAAAGCTAATGGTAGGGGAAATGATGACGACCCTAGTCAAGATCTTATGATTTTATCATTCTGGGTCATCATGGTCTCTAATTTATTTAGTTAGAGGATGTAGTCGACCCAATTTGATCAAAGAATACCTGTTAGCAATATAGGTGACAGAAAATTTTATTTCAATCAAATGTACTCTTATAATTTACCACTCAAAGGGTAGGAAATTATTGAGAAACATAAGGGCTTCAATTGTAATTATAATTTAATGATGTCATTTGGCTGCAAATTACTATGTCAGATGGCTTTGGTTGTAACCGATATTTTTTGTAAAAATCAAATCATGCAAACAAAGAACTCAGATCACATTATGGGCATGAGATTATTTTGAGCGTGATTATAAAAATATATTTAATATGATATTTGATTTTTACGAGTTGAGTTTAATAAAAAATTTATCACCATCCACAACAGTTTGTCAATGTCTAAAATGTATTGGTTACATAATCAAATTCTAGATGAAACCTTTTGATGTTGTCGCTCTACTCCTCTCATATATAGACTGAGGAAGTCATAAAACATGGATCCCTGCCTAACATATTTATAGAGAATATTCACGTCATGTAGGGGTGTAAAGAGCTGAACATGAGCGAGCCCTAGCTCAACTTGTGTCGGCTCATTAAAAAATATCACTGTTCCTATTCAACTCGTTTATATTTTGAACACAAAAAATGTGTTCGTGTTTGACTTGTTTGTTTAGTGAGTCGAACATGAGTTGTTCGTGAACAAAGAGTTGTTTTGACAACCTTAGTACGCAGTCGTAGTATGTTAAGGGTTAGGGCAAGATTTAAATCTTATTATTAATATTAAAACATTATTTAAATATAATTTAATATATTTTTAGTCTAATTTTTTAATTAATAATTATAATTGATTATAAATAGCGTTGTAGTCAATTAAATGTTTTAAAAAAATATAATTGATGAGTAGTATTTTGAGTCAAAACAA